TCTCTCTCTCTCTCTCTCTCTCTCTCTCTCTCTCTCTCTCTCTCTCTCTCTCTCTCTTATATTTCTACATATCTTAATTAAAATATATTAGGTTTGCACGAGTAAAGTTATTTTTTTCACATAATTTGAATATTTTTCACCGAGATCTTGCTGCTGGCATGCATTTTACTCAGGGTTATTCAGGATTGTAGAAAAATTACTTCTTAAAAGTAACTCATTATTATCATCATTAAATCTGTAATATTATCATGCAAAATAACAGTCAAGTAAAGCAAAAATTAATGATAAAAATAACGATTTTTGTAATCGTTATAAAAAAATATAATTGTGTTATCACTGTCGTTAATAACGAAAGAAATAACGCTGTTACGAAGTTGTTACCAGAAGAAATTGATTTTAGCGGTAACGGCATTACAAGTAACGCGTTATTTCCAACCTTGAGGGTTATCTTATGCCTACTTAGAGGAGCAACATACGTGCAACATTAGCATAGGATCCGCGTGAATGAGCCGCACCATTCCCAGCAACACGTTCTTAGAGTTGGCAATGTCCTCCTTGCTTTTGAGTAAATTCAAGCTGTGAATCATGCGCAACGGCGCGTACCATATGTAATTTTGCGTGACCTTGTTGAGCGTATCGGTGAACATATTTCGCAATTTCGTGCTATGCGGATACAGAAGGTCGATTTGCGGCCACCATGACAATCTCGGTTGCGTAATGATCCTGAAACGCATACATTAAATATCGATCAGAATACCGCCGAAGTAAGAATACAGCGCGCGCGTTTGGCACGACTCTTAAGAATAAAATACATATTCGGCACTTGCTTGTACAACGAGCTGACTAGGACAAACTGGTACATCGAGGGATAGTTAGCGTTCAGGCAGACTTTTAAAACTTCGCTGTTGTGTGGATTGATGCGGAAGCAACTAATAAAACAGTCGATTATTAGATCGACGTCTTGCGCGGTGTAGTTTTGCCCGCGGTAGAAAGGTTTCGAAGTACTGAAGAGAAGCGACACTAGGTCGGCCATCAGTTGCTGCACCAAGGTCAACACAACGTTGTTAGTGTGCTGGTTGCTGATATACGTGGCCGCTTTCGTAAGCTTGACGCATGTGACCGCCGCGGCCTCGGTCAGCTGCCGGCTGGAGCAACTGCCGTACATTCCCAGGCTGCGCTTCACATTATCGATGAAGAGTTTTTTTTTGTTATGCCGCGGTGAACCCGATGTACCCTTGTCAGATCTCACGATCTCCTCCAGCACCTTAGGTGACAGTACCAACAGCATGATTTGCAATGGCCACACCGCCGCGACTCGGCTCTTCTTGTTGTCGACGAATGTGTCGAGTACGTGGAACAGTTCCTCGCACGCTTTGCTCAGGTCTTCGTTGGGCTGCCTCTGCACTTCGCCGAATTCGTCCGGATATGTATCCATCCAATTCCAGATCGCCTTCTCCAGGGAATTCATGAGAATTAGGTGCGCCGATTTCTTTAGTGACCGAACTTTCTGTATCGTTTCTGCAGCGACATATAGCAAGTGCACAGGTGAGCAATGATACATTAATGAGTGTAGTATACGCAATCGCGGCACAATTAATATCCACCGCCTACCATTCAAGAGCCTGGTCAGTCTATCAACGTCAACGTTAATATGCTGCATTATTTCAATGTCGCTGCAGTCCGGATTCTCGTCCCCGCTGTTGGACAGTTCCTGCAGCCGGGCTGATATCCGGTTGAAGACCGCGTTAAAAAAATTCAAGCTCAGAGCGAACAGCACTTTGCTCGCCAGCTCTTTTATCGTTTTCGTCTGCGGGCAGTCGGCTGGTATACCTGCAAGAAATCAAGATAATCGTTTGTGTTTAGAAACTCAAACTTTAGATCAGTGGCCTTTACATTCAATCCTTAAGAATCTAGAGTCCATACACTGAGGAGAACTTAATGCAACCTTTCTCAGATGTATCTACGAACCCAGTTTGTTGGGCTCACCTATAAACTGACAAATCTCCCTGAGCAACAATTTCACGTTCATGGCCTCCTCGAATTTCGTTGTATCCTTTGGTTGGTTGGCCAGGCACTTCTCCAATGTGTCCAAGACAATTATAATAGACTCTTGTCGAGCCAGATCCATATTCTGAAACAGCCGTTGGTTGCCAGTGTTCGGTGTCGTTGCTCGGTGTTCCGTGTCGTTGACGCGCTGCAGCACCTTCAGGAGGCCAGATATAACGAGAGAGAAGCGATACTGCGAGATCGCGATTAGGCATTTAATGTTCCTCTCCTCGTTCACGAGGACGTTTCGAGAACCAGAACGACACGGTAGCTGCATTCAAAAGAGACGAATTTGAGATATAATTAAACAAAAACAGAAAGATATAATATAAAATAAAAGAGTAATGTACAATATATATAGAATACTATATCTTCGGGTATCTTTACTCCTCCCCCCTCCGAAGGGAGTTAACTTATATTGTAACAATTTCATTAGGATTGTAAAAATCCATTTATAATTAAAGTTACAAATTAATTTAAAAGAACGAGTTATTTTTTACGCAGATCTTAGAGCTTGTTAAAAAATCTTCAAGTGTCCATCACAAACGTGAAATCTTGTCCTTTCATAACACTATTCGGCAATATTTTGCTCCACAAGTGGGCATAGTCATTTCCGATGATGTATTTTTGATCGTTGAATACGAATCCGTTGTCCAAATTGGTTGGTTATCGCATCACAATTTTGAGAAAAATGGGATAAACGTGACTAAAACCGACGATCTTAAAGTATTTTATGATCTGCAGTGACAAAAAAATTTTTTTCTAAATTTCACTAATGCCAAGCGAAAACATGAACTTCAAGATTTAAAATGTCTTTTTCTCATTTCACTAAGATAACTGAAAACCGAAGGAATGAACACTGACCTATTTCTTTCCAAGAACTTACTGTCCTTCGACGGACAGCTGAAGGAACAGTAATTATCACGTTGTACGAGATAAAAGTAGGCGTACCGTAAAGGAGGCGTTAAAGATACGCGCGTTCAAAATAACAGCGGCGACAAATTGTCTCGACATCGAGAAACGTCAGTTTACACGCTCATGCCGCGCAATCGATCACGATTTTGTTCTCTTTTCTTTGTATTATCGGGCAACGGGCAACGCGACAAAAGTTGTGCGTAAAGGAACGCAATTTTCATTCATGCATATTCGAGCTATATAGTATTGTCGTAAAAACAAAATTCCAACGGAACTCGGCAAGGGCGTAACGAATTTCTTAAGGTACTTTCAGCTTTATATACTTTACGAAACTGAGCATTTTTCAATTATTTTAGATCCAAGTCGTATGATAAATATGAGAGAGAGAGAGAGAGAGAAATTTTCCCTCTCTTTTAATATTACTTTCAGTAAGGCGAAAAAACCCGGTCACCTTGGAATTCACTCTAATCTGTCTGAAATTTATCGAGTGGTGAACAAGTGTCTCCTAATCAATCTTGCAAATATCACAAACGCAAATTTACATTACAAAAATATTCTTAAGTTTATTATTGAAAGAATAATATTACTTTAACTGCAATTGTCAGTCAACTATCGTAAAAATGAATAATAAAAATACAAATGATATATAAAACGTAAAATCATCCTAATATCAATATTTATACTTTGCACCCCCAAACAATTACGCTACTGCACGTACACCTTGATTGAGCTGCTCTCACGGCGAGCTTGACTAGAAGCGGAGGGGGCGAAGGTCAAACCGCAGGGGAGGAGCTGGGGGAAAAGAGGACATTCTCGCAAGAATGCATCTTTTCATGAATGAACGAATAAAAGAACGATTTCGAGCGATATCGAGCGCGATGATCCTTCGCGCATACTCCAAGCTTGTCAACATCAACTAATGTACATTAATTAAAAATGTGAAATTGGGAAAAAGGAAAAGAAACCTAGCTCCAGTCAAGTTTGAAATTTAAAGTTTGTTGGTTGATTCGCTGAACGTTGGGGAATATCAGCGATCTTCAATTTCGATCTATCGAGAGTTCGATCTATCGTTGTCGAAAATTAATATAATAAAAAGTATGTGTGTGGGTGGAGTAGATATGAGCATACGGGATGTATTTTACGCTTTTTTCTTATTCTTATATATCACCAACTTCGATCCAAGTGGAATCGAGCGTTATATATTTAGTTCTTCCCCAGGGCGAGCTCCAGGTCGAGCCTGGATCTCGAGTCCGGATCTCGAGTGACAAAAACCGTAAAGATTCGAAATAATCGTAAAAAGAAATATTCTCAAACCACTTGAAATTTTAGATGTTTTATAAGTTCGTGCCGCTAACCAGCTGGTTGGCATCACGTTTCAATACGAGTATCGTCCTCGCAATCGTTGATCTACGAGCCAGCACTCACCCGGTCGTTCATGAACCTACCCCACGAGCGGTACAACGAGCAATGCAACGAGCATTGTAACGGGAGTACAACGAGAAGAACTCGAGATTCAATCCTCGAGGTGAGGAGAGGTCATGGAAAGAATGAAATTGCAGGACATCTTCCGGTAATCAAGGATATATATGAGAAATTAGAACGAACGCGCGAACACTATAGGTTATCATGGATTTAAGAAGAAGAAAGTGATCATACTGGAAGAGAGGGTGGCGAAGAAATAAAAAAAAAAACAGAGAACGAAAAAGGAAGATCTAGAAGGTGGAAGGAGAAGGACGAGCCCGACAACAAGGAAGAGAGGGAAGGAAGCAGCACTCCTTCTTCAGGGCACTATCGCGCCTACCTGATCCTCGAAGCGCGTGATTAGCGCGTTCGCCCATTCTCCCGGCTTTTGCGTACTCATTTCTCGTCCGAGGCTCACTGACAAGGCAGTTTACCACGTACGACAACGAATCACCAGGCAGCTACGAGCCCACGAACATACATCACCATTTACGAACATCGACTGACAGGCCACCGCCGTCACCATCGCCGTCGCGGAGCCGCGAAACGCACCCAATTGGGAGGTGCACTTGCGCGTTGCCGGTGGTGAAGTAGCAGATATGGCAGAGCGTGCCTCAATGCCTCAATGCCGACCCACCAATCGCACGTAGTGCAGTCAGGAGCGGCGCGAGAATTCGGAGAGCCTTCAATATATCTTTGACAAAACCAAAAAAATGCCTCCTTCCTCTCTGTCTCACCTGTCCTCTCAGCCTAGAATGAAAAGAAACAACAGTAAGAGATGATGGTAAAGAATTTTAGCTCGATATGTAAGACTAAAATTTCAGTTGAATTCTTACCAGGTGACTGTAAACAGCCCTTTTTGTTGTTCGAATTTTTCTTAATAATTTTGATGGTTTTGTTTAACTGATATGTAACGACGTTGTCCTCTACATCCCGTACTGTTTTATTGTCTTAAACAAGATTGTTGCGAACAAGAAGTTTCCGAATCCATTGAAAAATGCCATATGTTCAATTGACCTAGTAAGAATTACTTGCAGAGGGCGGTACTTCAGCTTTGTCCGGCCCTGGTTCACTCAAGCTAGTATACGCTTGCCCCACCTTGCACCCACGTCATTCATAACTGTGCTACACGTCCTTATATCCGGGGCAATCGCTTGTACGAAAATTCGATCGGGTTACTGGTATTGTTACGTCAACGTTCTTCAATGTATTCGACTCTATTGGACAATCTATTGAAAAGTTATCGCGTTTTTATCGAATTTATATACGTGATAATTGTTTAAATAAAATATATGGTATAAATATATATCATATCTTATGGATATATTTAGTAAGGAACGTAAGGTGTATATGTCTCGGAATATCATATATTGTTGAAATCAAATTTCAGGAGAGAATATACATTTCCGTTTTCAACATATGAGCCCTGTTTACTTTCACATTTTATACGCCATCTAAGGAAAAGAGACACTAAGGACTGGTTTATAATTTAAACTTAAAATGATAGTTTAAACTTAGATTTTAACCTGAACTCTGTTTAAACAAAACAAACGCATTGTTAGAATAGAGTTTAAACTTGAATACAAGTTTAAACTGCTATTGAAAAACCGACCCTAACAAGTCCCAATTTAAACAGCTTATTCATATCCATTTAAAAGTGAGTCTTATAATTATGAGATCTTCACACATTTAAATTAGTAAAAAAGTTACTTTGACTCCTGACTATTCGCAACGTTTCTTTTCGCTATACAAACTTATTCATTTTGTACATTTTGATATAGTCAATAAAATATAATCCAAATGGAGTAATCAGAAATTATACAAAAACATATGTATAAAGCTTATGCCGCAAACAACTTTATTTTGACTTATATATATATTCGATATGCTCTATAGATTTTAAAAGCAATAAATATGAACTATTTGCAGTCGAGATACATTGAGTGATAAGAATCTTATTAGTTGTAGCTGTTCTAAACATACTACGCAACAAAATAACCGGCACTAACTGGGAGAATAACCACAATGTAATTATTAATATCTTATAACCACATACGCACATTCCGTTACCGCTTCTTTAATTTTTTTCAATAAATAATTTATTCTATGTCACTATATTCAATTTTTTTTGTCACAAATTAATAAATCACTTATTTAATCAATTTTAATCTTACTTAATCAATCATCAAATTACTTAATCATTATTTTATCAACTTGCTTATACAATTTCATCAATAAAGAATAAATCAATGTTGCATACGATTATAAAATCCTGATAACCAGAGTTGGTAAAATTACCTTCTTTTAAAATAACTAGTTAAAATTGCTTATTATATATCGAAAAAGATAAATTTTCAAAGAATTTAAAAGAAATAATGATTCGTTAAAATTTCAATTACTTTCCTCTAAATTTTGGAGATTTTTTATTACAATTCGCTATCGCCTATCCCATATTTGTACATGTTATCCGTACACACAAAGTAAATATGAAAATAATGATTACATTCGTCATCATTAATAATAAGAAACTAATTCCGTTATTAAATCGTTATTAAAAAAAGAATTAGTGATAGTAACAATGTTACCTAAACAACATTTCCTAATCCTGATCAAAAATCTAACGAGTCCAGCTCGCTGTCCAACTACAAAAAATAAAAATTAAGTAGTGGTTTTACAGCCCTAAAAGATATGTAATTTGTTTGTTTATCGCACAAAACTTGTGCTTACATAATTTTTCATCTATATACAGTATATATGGAAATAAGTTCAATCCAATATACCAATTTGCATTGATATTCTCGCTTATACACTGATCATTGCAAGTAGAATCACATAAAAAATAGCATGCTTTGGTATCGGTAAGCGTATCATTAATTACGTGTATATACACTTTCGCTGTTAAGAAGATCCTTAAATATTGCATCCTTCCTGGCGTCGCGTTTCGCACGATTGTCTATTCTTAAATAGAATATCTTCTTCTAACGAAGAAATCACAGCATCGAAGATATCTACATCTCGTTGTCGGTGTCTTTCGATGGAATGAACACTTTTCGGATCCAGATCCGAGACTCTGACGCTACTCAAAAAGCAAAGTTGCTCCGAGAGCTTGATTGTATTTTCCACAGGTACTCTCCATGTATTTTCCCTATAAAGAAAAAGAGAAATCTTAATTACTTGAAGTGTACAATTATATCTGAAATACTTTTGATATGGAGAAAGTAATGACGGGTTCGTTGCACATTTTACGATACCTATACCATGTTTTCTGTATATTAAATTGCGTACCCTTGTAGAAATATCATATTAAAAATCATTGATAATTACTTATTATTAATACTGAAACAATATTTTTTATTTATTAATTAATTTATTAATTTATTTATTTATTAATACTGATACAATATTTTTAATACTGAAAATAAGTAATTATCAATGATTTTTAGTATGATATTTCTATAAGGGTATTCTAAGTAAATAATTTACTCGCTGTAATGTTTCGTATTGGAAAATCGTTGCACTACTTGGACAATAATTATATCAAATAATTAAAATTTCCTACAATAATATTACGTTAACTTAACTCTGCGCTCTACATATTTTTACGTAACGTTGACTGTTTATTCGCAAGTACTGTCAAACTGAAAAGAATGCACTTATCAACAGTTGGTAATAACATGTAATAGAATTTAGCATAATATTACTGTTACCATCAGTTGTTACTTAAGTCGACATGCATAGAGCAGAATATTCAAAACTTCCATAAAGTCAATCAAGCTGATATTTAAAATTAATTATAGTATTTTACATCTACGTGCAGACAATGTAAACTATGTTATCTTGTAGACAACTTGTGAATAATCTATAAATGTCGTTCGAAAAACGTATGCTTAAAAATTAAGAAAAGTTAGATAAATTTATATGAACATTATTTCCTAAACAAAAATTACAATCCACAGAATTTTCGAATTACATTTTTATCTACAGAGAAATTAAATCTACCAATATGTCACATAACAAAACAAAAATGTAACTTATCTTCTTTAAACGTTACATTTATAATTAATTTCCAAAACAGATACGGTATAACTCTCTTATAATTATTCTTTTCTATAAAATTTAATATAATTTGTAATATTCTACATAATTTACATTGTCTATATAAAAAACGATATATATGTCGGAAATACGTAAATAATTGGTGTAATCTTGAAACCTACGACACAATGTTGCTTGAAGCGCAAAGAGTTAAATTTGTTATAAATCCCTGTTGTAATAAAATTTACGTCAACGTTTAAGAAATGCGACAGAAAGGTAGGCTGTTGTTTCGAGCAATGTACTTACGGATGTAATTCACGGAAGGTCATTAATATCGAACAATCTCTGACTGTAGCAAACAAAAGGTAATTTTGCAACGCTAACAAGTGCTCGGCGGTGATCGATGTATTTGCCTTTCGCTGGTCACCTTCGTTGTCAGCTATCTGATTATGCAGACACTCGTTCCTCTCACAAAATGACTGCTGCAAATCTAAGTTGGGACTAATTCCTGTTTGCGATACGAAGCCGTCATTCACGAGCGTTTTGTCGCTATTAGCAGATAAGATACGCTCCGAACCGGCAGCACTGCGATTCCTATTAAGATCATCGTCGCATCTCGTCTCGATGGAGCTCTTAAAAAGTGTCTGTAAATATACTCCTTTTATGGCCTCTGTTTTTTGGATGACTGCACTCTGAAATGAGACAAAAAGAATGACAAGCATTCTCTAATATATTTCATTATATAAAAACTGATTAAAAATACAATAATAAACTATGCAGGACTTTCCATATGCATTCAATTCAATGTAAAAGGATCTCATAAAAGCATAAATTCCATTGAAGATCTTATGAATTTAATTAAGAAAATATCGTATAACGTACAGCATGTCTTTCGGATAAGATGCGAGGGACGTCGGTGGAGACGCAACTTCCATGTAACTTTGTCAAATCGGAATATATCATATCGTCATTCAGCAGTGTCGCAAATCTCGAGTAGATACTGTAGATATAATTAGTATTCATATAAGACAATCGCTGAGCATTCCAGATTCGCTCCAGCACAGAGCCTCTCGGCAACCCGTCGCTGTCGAAATTGCAGGCCTGCAAAACGCAAGAAACAAAAGTGGTACTCGACGTCGTTCTTCTTCCAAATAAACGTTAAATTTTTGTAGCAGGTGCGTCTACCTTTTCCGCGAGACGAAGGCATCTCTCGGCTCTCGCAACCACGTTCGGTTCAGCGCAGAATGTCGGAACTTGATTCGAGGGTAGGAGAAAATGACGGACAGGACGTATGGCGGCGAACAACGGTTCCAGCTGCTCTCGGACGAGAGGTCGTGTAAGAGCGGCGCACACCAAATTGCAGAACTCGTCGACGCCAGCACACTCGTTACGACACGCTGCCGTATTCTGAAACCATTGGTCCAACACGTCCTCGAGATCGCCCGGCTGGGACTCTTGGTCGTAGACGACAAGACCGTCCCTGAAAATCTTCAGATTATTCTGCGGAGACTTCAGGAGCTCTTTCACGGCAGCTTTCATGCGCGTCTCCACTCCAGAGAACAAGTCGAACGGGCAATAATTGCTGCGAGCTGAGATGCTCTTTTTCCGCAGCTGAAATTATACTTTGTGTTAATATCTTATTAGTATCATTTATTTATCTATTTATTTATTTATCTTGTTAATATCTTATTTCTCTCTATTTCTTTATTTCAATTTATTTAATCCTCTCTCTCTCTCTCTCTCTCTCTCTCTCTC